AATTGTTGTAGCCCAACAATAAAAAAAAGTTTTGATCTTCACAAACTTTTGAAAGTGAATATCTAATAGATAAACCTGTGTGGCAAGATACAGCCAGTTTTTTTTATGTCTACATTTTAAAGTCATTAAGCAAATTTAAATGTGAAAATTTTTACTGTAAGATAAAAACTGCTTATTATGTGTAATAAAAAATAAAATATAAATCTTGGGCTAGCAGGTGGCATAGAGGTCAAGTCAGCTGGCTCCAACATGACTGACTGTGCCATTTGGATCCTGGACCCAGTGGCTTGAAAAAACATGCTGGGTGCGTGTACATGTGTGCCCAGAATTCCAAAAGGAGAATGGAGAAGAAACTGTGGCATGTCCATCTCCATTGCCCACAGAAGGTTTTCATGTTCCCTCTCTCTAGCTCTCTCCTGCAAGTGCTCATGCCCTATAGCAAACTAAAAACAGCAAATACAAAGAAAAAAAAAACTTCTTTAAAAAATATAAAAATATTTATAATTTTAAAATAAATTCACTCATGGAAAAAAATAAAATAAAATGGCAGATTTGGGGTTGAGCAGGTGGCATGAAGGTTAAGGCGGCTGGAGACTACATGGCCAGCTGCAGGGTCCCAGGCCCAGAAGCTTGAAAAATACTGAGCGCATGTGCACAGATTTCCAAAATCCTGAGAGGACAATGGAGAAGAAGGAATTGAGGTGTGGCCATGACCCCCGGGAAGTGACTTATCACTCTCTCTCCCTCTTTCTCTCTCCCTGTCTCTGTCTCTCTCTCTCATGTGAGTGCACATGCCCTATAGCAAAACTTAAAAAAAAAAAAAAAGGACAGATTTGAAAAAGAACTCAATAAATTGTTTTTTTTAATTTCCAGAGGGTGTGTGCACTTGCCAAGGAAACAGAGGAAGAGAGTGAGAGGGAGAAAGCGCCCCCCAGTGGGGTGTGGTTATGCTGCAATCCCTTATTTTCCCTTTCTCTAGCCTGTTGGGATTTGGGGCACACATGCACGCATGTCCAGCATATTTTTCAAGTTGTTGGGGCTGGGATTTGAGCTGTGGTAAGCCATCTGGGATCTGGCTCCCTTAACCACTAGGCTACCAAGCCAGCCCCCCAGCAGAATTTATAAAAGTAAAAATTAGAGTAAATAGGGACCAGCAGTTGGTGTAATGCCTATGTCGCTGGACTCCCATGTAATTGACTGTGGTTTGAGTCGTGAATCCGGTGGCTTAAACTCACGCCAAGCACATGTGTGTGCGTGCCCAAGATCCTGTGAGGAGAATGGAAGAGAAGAGATTGTGGCATGGCCATCCCCCCTGGGAGGATGATTTCTTGCTTTCTGTCTCTGTGTCTCTCTGTCCTTCTGACAAGTGCACGTGCCCTATAGCAACAACCTTTCAAAAAAAAAATGTTAGAGTAAATGTTAGGTTGTTGGGAAAGTCATGTAATATTTTTCCATGCAAAAATGTGTCATAACCTTCTCAATGCCCCAATATCTATAAGTTAAAGAGCCAAGAGTGCATATTTGTTGTAGCCCAGAAGACAAAGCTAAGGCAGTGGGCACAAGACACAGGGAGACTGGCTGGGGCTCAGCAGGAGGAAGGCGTTGCTCTGAAGCAATGCAGTGGGCACCTCAGGGAAGGACAAAAGCACAGCCCAGAAGTTTGGGCATCTGGAAGAGGGGCTCCCCTGGCTTGGAGGTGGGACCCAAGGCTGCTTTCCAGTGTGAGAGCAGCTGAGCAGGGAAAGGGGTACTACAGGGAAGCAGGGCACTGGGATTCTAACCCCAGCTCTGCCAAACTTTTCATATGAACTTGGGCCTCATTCTTTCCCTCCTAGGCAGAATAAGGCTCAAAACGTTACTAAACTGAGTCGTAAAGGACATCACACTTCTTGAATCCTGGAGTTCTCAGCTGGAGATGCATTCTGACTGCCACATGCAGACGAAACTTCATGTGCAATTTCTCCCACTTCAGCTGTCACTCTTCAGAACCAAAGAGGATCTGAGAAACTCCTGACTGCCACATGCACTACCTTTCTGAAATGATTCCTGCCAAGCAGGTCACCAGACTCTGTCACATGGCCCTGTAGTCAGGCCACATCTGTCTGGAGCAGAGATGGGTGCCCCAGGCCCAGGCAGCCATGTGCAGACTGGACAGGAAGAAGACCCTGGGCTCCTGGAGGAGTGCTGGCTGTTCTGGGTGCTGACCAAATGATCTCCTTTGATCCAAATGATCGCCTGTGGAGACTTTGATAAAAAGCTTGGGTTATCTCGAGGACTGTGTAACAACTTCTCTAAAATTCCATGTTTTTAGACAACAACCGTTTATCCTCGCTCATGAACTCATGGGTTGGCTGGGCTGCTCTGATTCGAGTGCAGGTCTGAGTTTCATGTCTGCTCACGGATCTCTCCTCTTCTTCCTGGAATTGCTGGGCTGCTGGGACATGGTCTTCTGTCAGCCATGGCAAAGGCTAAGAGCTCAAGTGGAACCACCTTCTTAGAGCTCAGGCTCAGAACTGTCACACTGCCACTTTAGCCGTGTGCCATAGGATAAAGTCAGTCAGATGGCCAAGTCAACTAAGGGGCAGGGATGTACGCTCTATCTGCAAAAAGATCAGCCAAGAATGTGGAGTTAAGGAGGAGTGAAGACAGACAGTCCTCCATTGGGAAGGAAGTTAGTTCAGAGGTGGGCCATAGGGAAGGTGGCAAGCAGAAATCATGAGCTGGCAAGAGCTCAAGGCAGGAAGTATTGCTGGAGACACAAAAAGAACTAGAGAGGTGATCACAGGATGAGACTTAAAAGATAATTTAGGACAACCAACATTTATTTTATTTATTTTTTCTTGAGAGGTTTTCGCTATAGGGCGCGTGCGCTCACCAGACAGACAGAGAGAGACAGAGAGACAGAAAGCGAGAAATCACCCCCCAGTGGGGATGGTCACGCCGCAATCCCTTCTCCTCCATTCTCCTCTTGGGATCCTGGGCACGCACGCACACGCGCCCAGCGTGAGTTTTAAGCCACCGGGTCTGAGATGCGAACCGCGGTCAACTACGTGGGAGTCCAGCGACATAGCCATTACGCTAACTGCTGGTTCCCAGGACAACCAACATTTATTGACCTACTCCAGACCAGGCATCGTGTTAACCCCTTGACATACATAATCTCATTCCATCTTCAAAAACATTGTGGCTACGATTCCCAAACTATGCACCAAGGCACCCCAAAGCACTGCAGAAAATTCACAAAGGCAGTGCAAAATTATTAAAATGTTGAAGGTAACACAACGCCATCTGTTAGATAGTATGCAAACAACTATTATTAAATTATTTGAACCTAACTACTTAATAAACAACTGTTAGATTTTTCTTTGGGCCTAGCACACCATGAAAAAATTTCTGAGATACTAAGAGTTCAGTGAACTGAGAAAGTTTAGGAACCTCTGCCTATGAGGTACGTATCATTGTAATCTGGATTTTTTTAGATGATTACAGATAAATCATGGGACCAGCAGTTGACGTAATGGCTATGTCGCTGGACTCCCATGTAGTTGACCGTAGTTTGAGTCCTGGACCTGGTGGCTTAAACTCACATCAGGCGTGTGTGCATGCATGCCCAAGATCCCGAGAAGAGAATGGAGGAGAAAGGATTGTGGCTTGGCCATCCCCCCTGGAGGGTGATTTCTCGCTTTCTGTCACTCTCTCTCTATCTGGTGAGCACACGTACCCTATAGCAGAAGCCTCTCTCTCTCAAACAAAAATCTTATTATTAACAACTTTTTGCAGATGAGTAAACAGGCACAGAGAGGCATCCATTTTCCTAGACTCACTCAAGTAGTCAAGCAAGAAAGAGGTGGAGCTGGTATTAAAATTCATTTCCTCAGACCTGTGTGGGAAGATTCTTGCCTGGTGCCTTAAAGTGATAAAGGGCCCATCAGGGGCTCGAGTCAGGCTCAGAGTGTTCCCTGCCCTCCACAGTGGTGGTGTTGATAGGAGTGCTTGGCAGTCTGTCCTTGGCCTCCAGTGCTGACACCCAATTACCCTGGAAACCATCTCTTGTGGTAACGTGCTCAATGCACTTTCATTTATTTTTAATCCCACTCTTAGGATTCAAGCTCAGAGCACATTTGATTTCACAGGCTCAGAAAGGCTTGGCACGCAAAGATAAAAGAGGCAGAGCAAGGAGGTCTGGAAATGGAAAAAACATAAAACCCTGAGTGAGGAAAATGTCACTACCCTACACTATGAAAGCCAGAATAACCACCCATTCATCCTCTAAAGCAGCCAATAAAATAGACTCCAGGTGCCAGACACTGCAGTGCACACTGGGAACTGCATGGTATCATGGCATATCACCCTGACCTCATGGGTTTATGGTCCAGCTAGTAAGAAGGAGAGCCTTTTAGAAATTGATTGGTTCAAAATCTTACTGGAGACCACAAGCCCATGGTATATATATATATATATATATATATATATATATATATATATACACACACACACACACATATATATACATACACACACTCATTGTATGTATACACACATATATTCATTACACACATGTACACACACATGAGTGGTGTGAGTGAATTTGCCAATGAAGAAACTATGGCTCAGTT